GAAGAAAGAAGCTTTTATATTATATAATGTGTTAGAAATTTATTCAGGACAGTATAGAAACATAGTGAGTGCTGTTCCAAGCAACAATCAGAAAAGTCTTCACAAACAAAGGGTTAATGCCTGAGGTGACAAGAATTGTCCTTGTGAAGAGTTTTTCTTGATTGTATTGGACACAGGACAGTAAGTCCAATTTGGCAAAAAAACAGCATGGTCAAAAACATTACATAGTATCTTGCAACTTCATTTATATTTGGACTTATTTAAGGATAAAACTCTTTGTATTTTTACTTATTCACTAAGGACACATTTACTAAGCATCGTCTACACATTAGGCACTATGCCAAAGGTATAGGTATTAAGGTATTAAGGAGATACATAGAGCTCAAAATTTAAACATGGAGTTTAAAAAATAGTGATTAAAAGTATATTGCTTGTTGGAAACTATAAACTGATTGATCACATTTTATAAATCTTTGTATCCATGCCAAGTTTGACTAATATTGGATCCTGCTCAATGGAAATAGGTCCATGAGAATCTCTTCTTATGAGGATGCCTTCAGGTATACTTTGGGTGTCTGCACATACCCTGTGGCATTTATTCAGCCAGCTCTTGATACAGTCATTGGCACTATCAGCAAGTACTACATACAGCTGTGGAAGTACAAGACGTATTTTAAAGCAGTCTACATAATGCGACTCCATGCTCTAAGCTGGCATTAGAAAAGAGAAGACAGGAAAAGGAAATACTTGCAATCACAAAATTCAAAGTTCCACAAAAGAAATGTGCTGGAGCAAAATTTAGAAATTATAAATTTTTAATGCTTCAATATTAAAATATTTAATACAAAAATATTTAAACATCTATGTTTATAAAAACATGTATCTGTAAATCTTCCCTTTTATAAAAGAACAGATAGGAACTATGTTAGGGATGGCAGCACCACACTAGGAATTAAGAAATCCCAACTCCAAAATCAAGCAAAATTGTCACAGAAAATGGAGGCGCTTAGGCTCAACCTACGTCCCTGAGAGGGTGGTTGTAACTTGTACCAGAACCAATTTTTTTTTTTCTGGTTTGCCTAACTTTCTTCACTGGCCACAATCAGAAATCTGAATTTGGAGTTGGTTTTAGAAATAGAAAATTTAGAAGTTTCAGTAGATGAGGGCAGGAAAGTCATTTAATTTATTTTAGATAAAAATAGGAATAAATGAAGAAAAATATGGTGTTTACTTTTGGGTTGTGTGGAGAGATTCTCACACATCTGAAAATTAAGATATGCTATTCAAAATAAAATCACTCTTTATTTAGAGCTAATAGATTTGTAATTAATAATACTAGGTTATTACAACAATATTAACAATATTATCTGAGAAAGCAGCTAACTATAGATCACAAATCAAATCTTTCTCACCATGCTAGCACTAAACTGCTTCCTAATTTATATCAATGCAAGATATGAGAAAGGAATAAAAACAAAATTGGTTATTAGTTTCCCAGATTTTTGTTTTATCTAATTTAGGAATTAGTCTTTATCTTTTCTTGAGTATTTCAATTCTAAGTTTGTATACATTTCAGGGTTTCTCAGTAATCTTTGCTGTTCAATATTTGCATTTTGTTTTGATTTTGCTAGCTTTATTTGATAAAGACATTATCCCCATTTCTTTTCAACCACTTACACTCTGTGTGACCTTGGTCAAGTCACTTATCAAACTCTCAGTATTGCAGTTTCCTCATCCATAAAATGTTCACAGTTTTAATACCTTCCTCGAAGTTTCTGAATGATTGAATCAGAGAACCTAAATAAAACTCTCCGCACAGTACATAATAAGAAATACAATAAGTATAACAAATTGCAAACAAGAAAAAAAGATAATGCCATACTTCTAAAATGACTATTGCTAATGATTGTTTTGAGAACTTCCTATGTACTTACACTGTGTGTTTTAAGGATTTCACAAGTAGGATCACATGTAACCTTTACAATACTCCCCACAACTAGTTACTGTTAGTATTTCATTTCACACATGAAAAATAATGAGAAACAGGGAAGTTAAATAATCTTCCCACTGGAGGCGGTGGCTCACGCCTCTACTCCCAGCACTTTGGGAGGCCAAGGCAGGAGGATCACTTGAGGCCAGGAGTTCAAGACCAGGCTGGGGACCATAGTGAGACCCCACCACTACAAAAAATTAAATAAATAAAATTTTAAAATAGGTAACCTACCAAGATCACACAGCTAATAAAAGATAAAGTCGAGTATCAAACTGTGTTAGACTAACTCCAGAGTCTATACTAGTATCCATTAAGCTATGTTTGCTTTTATACCCGTGGTGGATATAAAAGAGTCATGCCAGGCCCGCAAATGAAACACTTAAAACAGGAAAAAAAAAAAAGAAGAAGAAGAAGAAAAAGAAAAAATCTGGTTGCAGATATTCAACAATCAAGAAACAGTTTCAAGTTCTAAGGCAAGGTTGGATATTGAAACTCAAGTAGGTACTATAGGTGATAACAAAGGCAAACCAAGACAGGTACCTGATTCTAAATAAATATAAACAAACAAATAAAATAAGGTAACACTAAATCCCCCAGGTTCTCAGTTTTGGCTCACAGAAAGAACAGACTAATATCTGACACGTTGTACATGTACGAGGTAACTCTGGGAACAGGTAGGGTCAAAGGTACCTCAGCTTTGATTATGTTAAAGGTCTAAATCTGGCAGCCAGACAAAACTCGCAAACTTTTCATAAATAAGGAAAAATAGACAGATATCCTGTAAAACACGGACTTTTAAAATGGTATATTTTACTGTATAGTAAATATACAGTAAAAAGCAATGAGCAAATTATTTTGTCTTACTCTTTTTTAAAAGAAAAGTGCAAAATAGGCATTAATTGTAAAAAGATTTTTCCTGTAAAAGTTTTTGTCAAGCCTATTCCTATAAAAAAAAGTCTTAAAATAACTATTACAGTGAAATGTCTTTTTTTTATTATTTATTTATTTATTTTTCTATTGTGGGGTACAGCTAAGGCTTAGGTACACAAATATGCTCCATTCAGGCACCCTTGTTGATAAGAGGTGTCTCCATGTCCCCAGACAGATATTTACTACTACCCTATTGTACAATGCAGTTCTAGAAACTAGTGTATTCCAATAAAACAGACAACCCCCCCAAAAAACCTATTACAGTACTCACTAGAACAATCTGGTAATACATACAATTCACTTAGCAAAATTAACGAAATGACAATATGCTTGGGGTTACTAAAAAAGTAAACTAAACAAATTGTGCAGGGAAGAAAGAAAACAAAAACACAGAACATCACATCATGAAGCATATGTGGAAATCGTCCATATTCTATAGCCCACTTTCTATCACTTCCATGAACTTTTCCTAGCATATTTTATATTAACCACAATTCAGTTAATGTCATACATATATATCACACTGCAAAATAAATGCAACATTTATTTTATGTGCCATAGCATTAATATCTCTGATGATACAGTATTACAAAACCATTACCATTCTAAATGGCAGTGTATTGTCACATTTCATAAACAAGAAAGAATGCAATAGAACCTACTAGAATAGATTTATCTTTTCTGATCCTGAGATAGATGCTAAATTTAAGGGCAAAAGCATCTCATTTTTCTTTCTTCCTAGATATTTCCTTCATAAAGTAACGGTGTTTCTATTTAACAGGTAATATTGGTGAAGTAGTTACTGATTTTAACAGAATTTCTACTTTTTTCTTTTGAAAACAGTAAAATGCTAAAGTTAACACTATATCAAAAAAATAAATCCGGGTTGAAATTCAAGTTTTATTTTACATTGGGAATATATTTTAATCCTATTAAAATTTTAATACATAAATATGTCTTTAAATAAAATTGTAATTTGACATCTTTAATGATCAGAAAACTTATATAACTTTTTAATAGAAAAAATTTAAATAATAAAAAATGGTAAAACAAATCTCCATACATCATCATCTATGAATCCCAAAATGTCAATAGTTTGCCAAAATTATTTTATCTTCTATGCATGCTCTTATTGCTATATACTTTAAAGAAGATCCCAGACTCCATGGCTTCTACCATTACATGCTTTAGTAGACATCTCTAAAAAAGTACAAATGTGGTGGCTAACAAAATTTTCTTTAGTTTGAGACATTACTAAACAGAAGTGCAAATCAAAATATTTGTAGTTTTAATCATGCTATGAAGATGGATATGTTTTCAGATGTATTTAGACTGTATAGAAGGCAAAATATTGAAAATGCTCATTGTTCCTTTCTACTCAAGCGTATTTGACCCCTTTTGGGTAGTATTAGAAATTACTATCCAAAAGCATAGATAAAACTATAAAATTTAATATTGAAAAGAAAGCAAATGGCAAACTTGTTTTAAGTCATGCTTGCTGCTCTATTACATTTAAGTATATCTGTTAGCAATATAAGTCCATAATTCTTCTGATACTGAAATCAGAAATATAATATGCCACCTGAATGTATAAATCCTTCACCCCAAATGTGAGTTGGTCAGGCTGCAAATACTGTAAAATATTTAAAATTCCAGAGTATAATTTATTGTGTTTAATGCAATTTGTGTAAAATGGTAGTAAAGTAAATATATTGGAATATCATTTCAACATGTGATCGTTTCCACTGATATAAGCTAATATGCCTGCCACTGTAAAATTTAAATAACAATAATATCACTGATAATATAGCGTTATAAGTCTTTCAGATAAAAATAGAAGAAACTTAAAATTTATATAAGCATTGATACGTGTTAAAATACTATATTAATAACAGTACACTAAATTATTGCTTTTACTCTAAGTGCCATATTTTGACTTATTCAAATATATTTTATAGTTTTTTTATATATATACTTCAGGACTTATTGAGGACTAAAAAATTTTTTATTTTAAATGCAATTTTCTAACTTTTTTTTAATCTTTTTACCTTTCTACGTGTCTGTTATAAAGTCATACCTTCAAAGTAACCATCTCTTCTGGTCTGAGACTTCTTTGGTGATTTTGTAGCAGAAACTTTATTTTCGCTGTTTTTGAATAATGCTAGACGTAGAGTGGGATCTAGACCAAAAAAAAAGTAAGATAGAAAGGAAGTTCAGCTCTTGTTTATTCCTTTTCTGAAATGGTCATACATTTTTTATGTGGTAGTAGTAAAAAATAATATGCACTCTATAAGGTTCTATGAAATTGATGATGTTATTTTAAACTTTATAATATGAAAAGGTAGTCAACCATGCATATATTCCTGGTTATCTGATTAAACACATAGCCAAAGCTTAAAATAAAGAACAGAAGCACTCTACTTATTTTTCATCTAAACTATAGGAAGCTGAGATACAGGAAATGAAAGCAAAACAACTAATGGTATGAGAAACAGAAAAATATTATTTAATTAATTTAGCACCTAAAATGGGGGTTTCTTTTTTGCCTTAATGTCTTGTATTTACATAACAACGGAGATGTATAAGTTTTCTTCATTTTTTAATGCCAGGAGTTTTCTAAATTTATTAATTTTATAAGCTAAAAAAGATAATTGTGAATGTAAGGACAATACTTTTTATTGGTAATAAATAGTTCACTAGACTTTGAAAACAACAATTTGGTACTGTTGCGTTAAAACAGAGTTTTTGCTTATTGAAGAACTGTAAGAAAATATTTTGATGTAAATCCTGGGGGTAAAATAATGAGTGGAAAGTTATGCATTTATACATAATCCCAAAACATAAAACCACAATTCAGGCAGCATACATTTTTTTAATATCTTACATCATCTAGCAAAATGCAAGAAAATTTAAGAATCTTTGATTAATATCTAGTACAATAGAATTGAATATGTTAAATGAAAAAACAAGTTTTTAAATGTCATAAGAACCAAATTAAATATTCTAATTAAATGGTATTTTTTGGAATGTGAATTAGAGAAGCAGAAAAAATAGTATTCTCCAGCATGAGCAGCCTGATGATTTCCATTAGTTTTCTTGTGATAATTTATCTTTACTAAGTCTGATTTACATGTTTCACAAAGATTATATTTTTCAAGATTAGGGAAAATATTGGTCAATGTTTAGATACATCTCATAAATATATTTGAGCTCAGGTCTTATAATAGTTGAACGTTTCTACATGAATTCAATATAAATTATCAATATGAATAATAAAAATTATATTCAAATTTCATTAAATAATTGTTATATATCATCTAAGTCATTCACATACACATACACAAATGACATCTCAAAGAAGGCCTGGCCACTCAGGAAGATCACCAAGGCCTTACAAACTGTTTGGAAGCCTATAACTGTCTTTCCACGCTTCTGCTCTTGTCTTGCTATTTGATCTATGTATTTTCTGAGCAACAGCATTATAATTCAACAGACTTGGGTTGGATTCCAGTTCCACTTTTACTAGTTGCATGACTCTGGAAAAATTATTCTTACCCTGTGCATCCTCCTCTGGCCAATAGAAATAATATTAACTCTGCAGTACTACGTGAGGTCTAATGAGACAATGTGAGTAAAGCATCAAGCCCCAGGCCCACATAAATGTAGCTGCTCAACAAATGACAGCCAGTAGACATATATTACACATACACAATGAAGAATATTTCCAACGTATTATATTCTTGAATAAAACCTTTCATCTTTCATAAAATATAGTGGGATACATAAAATAGAAAGATGAATCCATAATCGGCTCCATTTTATTCAACATAACACATTGAACAAAAGCTATGGATCTTTTATAAATTCTCTGGTACTTCCTTGGACAATAATTATCACTCTATGACAATTTCTTAACATGTAAAATAGGAATAACAACAGCACTTTTTTCATACTTTCTTCAAGACCAAATAATTTTTAATACATATAAAATATTTACAAGAGTTGTTTAGCTCAATAATTTATGCTCCAAGAGCACATAAAAAGTGATACAATATCAATATTCTTTTGTCTGAAACATTATGATTGTGTTACTTTAAAACTGATTTAAAACTTGAATTCAAAATACAAAGAAATAATGCTAAGAAGCAATAAACATTAGCAATTTTGGATTTGAAAACAATCACTTGATTTTCATAGCCCCTGGAAATACCACTGGTGCGTAATTCTTAACCTCAAAACAAAAACAAAAACAAAAACAGAATGAGCAACCTGATGATTTCCATTAGTTTTCTTGTGATAATTGTAAAAAGGCTGAGAGATAAGGATATTGTAAAGATTATAGCTTGTGACACCTTTTTCATGCATCATAAAGTTAGTTTTGTACATATACATCTACTATATGATAATCAACAGCAGGTGTATGTTGCTTTTTTAAAAATAATCTTTGTGGTCAGGCATGGTGGCTCACACCTGTAATCCCAACACTTTGAGAGGTGGAGACGAAAGAATTGCCTGAGTCCAGGGATTCAAGATCAGCCTGGGCAACATGGTGATACCTTGTTGCTACAATAAGTCAAAAAAAATTAGCCAGGTGTGGTGGCGCAGACCTATAATTTCAGCTACTTGGAATGCTGAAGTGGGAGTATCACCTGAGCCCAGCTGTTTGAGGCTATGGTGGCTATGAGCATGCCACTGAACTCCAGCCTGGGCAACAGTGTGAGACTCTGAGTCATATAGATATGGATGGATGGATAGATAGATAGATAGATGGATAGATAGATAGATAGATAGATAGATAGATAGATAGAAAGAAAAATAATCTTTGTATCTCTCAGTAGGACTTTACTAGTGTTAGTGAAATCAGCAATAAATACACATTTTAAAAATATTTCAAAACATCCCTACGTAAGCAATAATGTTCTTATCATGCATGTGGCTCTATACTTGATACTTTGTATCTATTTTTTCTCCTTTAAATAACATAATTTTAGTTAAGCATTAGAATTTCTATAAAATCATTTCATTCCCTATATAATCCTTTTCAAGTTCCATAAATCTAATTTATCTCACTGCTATATTTTTCTTTGTACATAAAAATCTGGCATTATTACCAATTTTCTGTAGGAGCCAAGTACAGCAGTGCTGTAAAATAAGGTTGAATGACTAGCTAGCTATATTGCATCATCTTATCAAAAGTATTGTTTACTATATATATCTGCCTTCCCAAATATAGACATATATTTAAATGATTAAAATACACACACTGTCAGATGTGTATTAGTGACTTCTATATAATTTATTGCTGAGTTAGTTGACAGTTATCTATTGAATATCTACCAGGAGCTAGACATGGAAGAAGGTATGGGAATCCAAGGGGCTTCAGTACTCAAAGATCATCCTGTTCAAACATATTTTATTATTGTTTTGTTGATAATACAACAAAATAATATTTGATCAAAATTCTTGTAAATTCTTTCTGGAAATTAGTGAGGTAAACAAACTATATCTAGAATGAAATTCATTTTGCTTGAGTTTTGTCTGTACCATTACCTTGTATTCCCTCCCCCTTAACATTCCCTTGTTGCCGTATCATTTTGTAACCTGATTGCTTTGCTATAGTCCATGAACTCCTTACTTTGCATAAAAATTACCTTTATTAATTTTCTATTTGGTTTTATTCTTGGCTACAATTAAATGTTACCAACAGAGGCTCAAGCTGTTTTCCTCGTGGAAATAAAATCAGCAAATATTTATTGAATTCTTAGTGCATACTTGACATCATGTTAAGTGTCACAAGCAGCTGCAAGATTATTCTTATCCCTACTTGTGACTCTTTGCAACTAAATTAACCTTTTTTGGCTTCATCTTACTCTGTATTTTCTCTAGCTATGAAATTTTAAATGTGATATGCATAAATATTATCAATGCAGAAAAGCACATTTTGTCTTTGTCCTATATGCTCTTAGCCTTTAAACTTCTTACCAGAGGTTCTCCACCAAAATCCCTGTACTCGGATCCCATTTTCTCTGAGGAGTGTTCCACATCAAAACCAACCACCCACTCTCTTTCCCCATTCACCTTCTTTCAATCTTGCTACCAATTATGCTCACTACCCTTAGGTAATTGACCCTGCCTGTTTTCAATAAACCGGTAACTCTCACCTTACACATGATGTTCCTCACTACAGCACTGAATTCTAAATTTTCCTGGGTATCTGCTAAATTCCAATGCACATAACCAAATTCTGAAATTGGGTCTGTGCATGAGGCAACAGTGAAACAAGCAACAAAACAAACAACCCACAAATACAAGACCAGTCAATACTGGTTCAAACTCATGTCAATCGTGAGGGAAACAGCAATTATTTTCTAACAAAAACAACAACCATAACCCAGATACAAGCTCGGAAAATCAGGATAACGCCTCACAATTTTAGATTCCATCCTGTAGCTTCCAGTCAATTCCTCCTTCTCCTTCCCTTCTCTCTTGTTTAAAGCAGATGTCCTCACTTATACCAATGAATGTCATCAATACTGAGTCTCCCCTCGTAGCTGCCCACCCAGTATTTTTCCTTAGATCCTCACTTCTTCATTGATCAGCTACTTCGGCAATACTCTTCTTCTACCTGCATCTGATTCCATCATACTACTTCCTTAAATCAGTGCTGCTTTTGGCCTATTTTCATTCTCACCTTAATTAAAATCTGGTTGACTCATATCCCCTGGCTAATAAAAATACACACAAGATATAAACAGGAAATATTAAGTGCTTGCTTCTGAGCAACTTGCTTTAAGATTTATTGTGGAAGAAATCTGAATAAAAGTTCCCATACTCTGTACATTTGTGCGCCACTTTCTGGAGGATCACAGTTTGCTATATTGTAAGACATAATTTATTTCATAAATTAATAGTAATTCCTATTCTCAGACAGGCCCTTAGAGCTGATTAGGCTCACAGCAACTCTAAGTACAATGTTGCCCTCTGGTGGTTTGAAAATTTCAAGTTGGCAAGTTGTTCATGTACAAGATACTGTATCTTTCCAAGCATATTTTAAAATGACTAATACATTTATAAGTGCTTAACAGAATTTAAATATTTAAAAAATTAGTTGAACTCATTAGTGAGTAAAAATTTAAAATTATGGCCATTATTTTAGACAGATTTAAGGTTTGTTCTTTTTCATTTTTTACCCTACCATGCCCCCTTGTGACTGATAAAAAGAGGCTTAATTTTTACCCAATAATTATATTTAATCGTGACCATGAAAACACTGATTTTATGTGTGAACACCTATTACGTATTGAATATTTTGCTAAACATATTATCTGCTATGATGATTTATCACCAATATACTCAACCTAAAAAAACCTCTTAATTACAAGAATAAGCAAGAAAGACCTATATATTTCTAGAGACAATTATATTAAAAGTCTGACAACATAAACTTTTCCTCAGCATTCACTACTAAAAACTATTGCAAACACTACAAATACCATTAAAAATATATCTAGCATAATTTCTTGGGCATAAATAAGTCATAATTAATAGTTGAATATAGGCTCAATCAATTCCTTAAGCCACCTCTGATATTTGAATTTGCCCCAGGAATTTCAGAAACTTTTAGTATTCTCAAAAAAAGCTATATAAAAATGTTTTTTGATACTGGTAAAGATGGGTAGAAATATACACCAAAGTAATAATAGAATTTCTGGAATTGCCCTGATTTACTCTACTAGATTCCACATTCCCAGAACTAAAAGAGAGTCTTACCATTGTTACTGGCTTGGCGTTACTACTTCACTAGGTAACTACCACATAACATTCAGTTCACAGATTCCTGATTAACTTAACAGGAGTTTATAAAATGAGAGTGCAGAAGACACTAACAAATTTAAAACACAGCGTTTATTTCTATATTTTAAAGATTATTAAAATTCCAGTAGTTTGAACTTGACAAATTTTTAGCATTCAACACAAAATTACAGTTATCACAAGAAGATAAAAGATAATATTAAGATATCATAATATAATGCTAAGATAGGAGAACACTTCTGAATATAAAAATAAATCACCAGTAATTTATTAATGGTTAATAAGTGATGTGCCAACAAATATCAGTTATTACATGGAAATCAACAGTAATTTGGCTGCATTTATTTGTTTTTGAAAACTAATACATTTATGGTCCTTAGAATTGTGCTGAATAATTAAAAATAATAAACAAAAATCATTAAAGATAAAAATACATATATGAAATGCTTCTTTGTATCTTTACATAAACTAAATTTATAGAATAAGTAGAGATCTCCTGCTCTTTTTTAGGAGTAATGGGTCTTTTATGGAAACTTTTTCCTGACAATAAGATTTTTGCGAATGAAACTGATGAACAAAAGAAACTCAAGCCATTTTTAAAGTCATGTTACTTATACTGAGTTTCTTACATTTTTGAGGAAATACACATAAAGTTAAAAGTACAAATTTAAAAGCAATATCGAAATCATTTTAAAGATATAACTTCATAATAAATTGCTATCGCTTGCCCTAACATCAATAATCTACTCCACATATTAATTTCGATAAAACGATTGAGGTATCCAACAAAAAACAAATGATTTGAAGAGTAGCGTGCAAGTGGGATAGAAGAAAAAATGTCTTTGAACATTTCTTAAGTTCCACAAAATAAAAAAAAGACAAAATTCTGCTTCTTCTCCTAGGTGTCAATTTGTGAAGTGCTTATAGCTAAAATCCATGGAACTGATGAATTATATAGTCTATTGAATGACAAGCAACTAAAAAAAACACACAGAAGAATAAGTACATAAGAAAGATACTCTTTTTTAGAATCAACATTTCCTAAAATGAACCAATTTTAAAACAACATATCACATAATTCTCAGTGCACAATAGATAAAATAATCAATAGCAAAGCAGACAAGAAACAGAAGAAATGTGAAAACAGCATTTAAGAGTACAATAAATCATTCAATGTAATAGCATGATTTTCTCAAGTTTATTTTTTGAATCATTATCTTAGGCATACAAATCGATGCATTCATTTATTTTCTCATTAACTATAATTTTAAAATACATTTTAAAAGAATTTGGCTTCAATATCCCATAGTTATTATTCAAAAAACATTAATTTCTCACCTAATTTTTTTTTTAGCTTCTTTGATTTCATTTTCTGTGCCCTCTTCAGCATTTGCTGAGCTGTAGAAATATCCTTAAAGCCCCTATTAAAAGATTACATTTACTAAAGGAAAAACAAATATCCAGACCATACTTAGATATGCTTGTACATATAAACATACATATCTGAATTATATTATACTAAAATAAATTCAAATTCCCACTTAAGAAAATGTAATGTAATCAGGTGGATAGTTTCTTAACAACTAATAAAGAGCATTCTTGAAAAATATTTGTCTTGGACATTTATCAGTCTTTCACTTTTAAAATATTTTAGTGTAAAATAGATCACATACCATTCTTCTGAAATTTTTTCTTCTTTTTCAGATTTTAGAAAACTCTTTCTACTGGTTTTTGCTTCAGGTATCTGGGATAAAGTTCTATTTTCTGATCTGGAAATAGAAAAAAATCACTTTTAACTGAATCAACACAAGTATATCAGCACTTTTAAAAGCTGCAAGCTGTTTATGTTATCTCAAACTCAGAAATAAAATCTATTTAAGTTACTGAAAATTTTTATCTTGAAAAGTAATAAAAGTCTGCCATTAATTTGAAATGTTTACATTTCAATTACTTGAAGCATATTTCAATTCCTTTGTTGAAATTAATGCAGTTCTGGGATTTTATTTTAATCCTTATCTCTACCTATACAGCAGTATTTAAAGATCCGCTTGTTTACAACAATTAATTACATTATTTCATATAAATTTTGGAATTGCTTAAGGCACCTACCTCACACATTTTTTTCTGCACTGAAAACTCCATGGGATCATGATGATACTTTTAACACTAAATACTGTGCCATCTTCTAAACAAGTAAATTCACATATATTTTTGTAATTGTACTACTTTTATGAGAAACGTAATATTCTTGCCATTCATAGATAGTTATGAGCTTACCTGCTATTATATTGTGTGTGTTCTGATGAAAACGCATTTTCTTTGTTATTACATAGCCATGCTTCAGCAGGATGACTTGGTAAATTAAATGAAGTATCATCATATTGTAAGTGTTCAGAGATCTTATCAGAAAAAATACAAATAAGTGTAAACTAGATTGAACAATACTAGCATTTATATTGTATTACTTTAAATGCACATTACCAAGCAGCTTCCTGAGGGAAAAATTATAAAATTAAATATTATAATGAAATGAAATTAATGGAATATACAAAAATGTTCTTTGTTATAGTGGTGAAGAATATGCATTTTGGGATAACTCTCATATACAAGATGATTTATTGCTAAGATCTTTAAAAATCTTAGAAAACAGAAACTTCAAAGATTATCAAATAAATAACAGATATTGCAGTCCATTGACCTCTGACTGAGAATCTTCAGCTGTTGCCCTCTTAATGCATATTTTTGTATTTTTAAAGTGCTGTCAACTAGTGATTTTAGTCTACTGCCAAATATGCAGCTGAAGTATATCATTTTTTTTTTTGCTACTGTGAAATAAAGTGTTGAAAGAAATCCAAAATAAAGAAAAAAATTAGGAGCAAATGAAAGAAAAGCTACATGAAAAATTACATCTGGGGATGAGGAGGAAGTCAGAGGCTTCTAAAAGTAATTATGTTTTTCAAGTCAATAAATTGTATTATTAATCACTGCAGCATAGCATAACCTTAAGAAATGAGCAAAGATTGAGCACTCAGAAGTTTCCATGACATGTTACCTTTGGCCAGTGCAGCTGGTTTGAGAGAAGCAGTGTTTTTGAAGGGAAGCGGGTGGAATCTAAAGCCAGCCATTCTTTCTCTAAGGCAGCCTGCACAGATAATAACATTAAAATGTGCATAATTTAGTATGCATAACTTTTTCAATGTTTCTTTTAAATTGTCTTGCAGACTACAAATGTTGACCAAGTATATCAGAATTTTTATTTACAAGAAATTTACTACTTGCTATTGTGAGATGATATGCATCTGTTTAATGCAAACATTCTTAAAAACGGGATAAGACTTTGAATCTCTAAGTTTTGGATAAAGTGAAAATTTGATATTTGAGTGCTCTAAAAAATGAAGCGTAGATTGTTGAGTATATTTTGCTGTTTATAACAGTGACTCGGGGCCAAATCTGGATGTATCTGAGGGAAACCACCCTTTACATTTTTACAATACAAACATCACTATTGAAAGTTTATAGCATCTTAATAAATTAGTATTAATTTTTCTATAAAGTTATAGACTAGATAGCTTTTTCTTATTTTTTCAAAATTTTACAAATTTTATGAATAGATTAAAAAGTAATTTTTTGGCAATGAATAAAACAACATAATTCAACTGTTAGAATAAAAATATATAAATTTAAACTTAAATTTTGAAATCCCTATTTTAAATTCCTCTCTCATTACCTTCAAACGTCTTTCTTCCATTTATAAAATGTACAAACTTATTCTGTCTTGCTACTATGGAATATTCTGATCATAATTTAGGATATATTTATCCAATTTTATTTGATTGATTGATTATCTAATCTTGCTTAGAATAAATTTCTGTGGTTTAATAATTTTTTGAATTTTGTAAAAAATCAGAATACCAATTACTTTGTATTTCTAAAATTTCTAAAATAATGAAATATTTGTGATCTAAACACTAGAATAATTTTACCCTGAGGAGCTGTAAATGCAATTTTCCATTTATACAATTTCAGTGTGTCTTGACTGCCTTTTGAAAGACCATTGGAGGAAAGGCCTAACACATGCTGAGTAGGACAAGATTCCACAAAGCATGGTGACCTTCCTGCCACATCATCTAGATGTTGATAAGTGTTCTTCTTTGAAAAGGCTACATAAAGTATGGGGAAAAGTTTTTTCTAAAAATTAATATCTAAGCTGGGCTAGGTGACTCAGCCTATAATCCCGCGCTTTGGGAGGCTGACGTGAGTGGATTGCTTGAGCCCGCGGGTTCAAGACCCGCCTGGGCAACTTGGCGAGACCACATCTCTACAATAAATCAAAAAATTAGCCGGGCGTGGTAGTGCGCCCCTGTAATTCCAGCTACTTGGAAGGCTGAGGTGGAAGGATCGCCGGAACCCAGCAGGTCGAGGCTGCGGTGGCTGGGAGCAGTCACTGCATTCCAGTCTGGGTGACACAGTGAGACTCCAACTCAAATAAATAAATAATAAGTAAATAAATAAATTAAAAAATTCATATCTAAAAGTACAGATAATTTTGCAAACAGTTTTTCTTGGTTTTCATGTAAGGTCATAAGCTTTTATAGGATTCTAGAAAAATTCTTAATCACTGTCTCTCAGAAATTTCTAGAAGCACAAAGAGGAGTTTTTATACAAAATATTGAAGATGCTTTTAGTAAATCAAAAATATATAACTAAAACTATGAATTTCTAGGAGTTCAAGCTTATTAATGTCAAGTTTATTTGGCATTGCCTTGAAAATTGAGGAAAATAAAATCTTAATATTTAAGGGGCTATTGGTTGAGAGTTATAAGCATACCATTGTTTTTTTAAAAATGTGTGTTAAAAAAAAGTGTGTTAATATATCATGCTTACCACTGCAAATTTATAGAAATTTAAGTTATTGCTTAAGAAAAGTTTCTGCTCAGATATTTAAGTTATAACAGGATCTGTAAAGCTTTCTGGTCACTAGAGGATTATTATCAAATTTACTTATATATTCAAAATGAACTTGAATTTGGATACATTGTAACCATATGTTCACGATTGGACATTTGGTCAGACACACATACTCGTATATCTTGCTTTTGATCAAAGAAGAAATCACTCTGCTATAACCCAACTTTGAAACAACAGAATATAAAGCTATCAAAAAAGGGAACTGTAAATAACATAGATGTTAATGTGTATATTATATATATGCAACATTTTTCATGCCATCTAGTATAATCCTTTCATTTGACACAGGATACTAGGACCACACTTACCCAAAGTCACAAATTAGTGTTGAATGGATCCATAGCAGTTCATATTGTTGGATAACACTGTTATGCACTATGCATGTCTCTTTCACTAAAACAAATACATCACTTTTCTTCAGTCTTTTCTTTTGCTTCTATTTTAGGTTTCTCTACTTTCCCTCTACGCATTGTAATGTGTAACACTGTGAGTTTAATTTGAGATGGGGTCAAACATAAACTCCAAAGCTGAACATTGCCCAGCATAACACATTCTGCCGCCTTTTCAAAAATTATTCCTGCAAATTTATTGAATTTGACTTTGAGTTGAAACAAAAGAAATCCAAATTTGAATGTTGTGGTTTTCTGTATTTAATGTATGGGAGTAGCTTTTCTCACTTTATCTGGGTTTAGGTTGTTTATACTTGAATTAGGTTGTTTAAATATTGGTTGCCTAAATTTGAAGACATGAATTGGTTCTTTATCTCATAGAGTCTAAACAGCATAAAATAGTGTTATAATATTAAATAAAATCTGTCAAATTAAGTCGATAGATAAAAACATCAGCCAAATTTTACTTTATAATTCAAAAGGTGAAAAGTGAAAATGTCAAGGTAGATCCCTATGCCATGTTAAACTATTCATACTTGTTTTTTTAGATGTTTATTTTGTATCACAGATATTTTATGACAAAGTAGCAAAACTTCCCCCAAAGATGACTGAGATCTAGACTCATTGAAACTGCTGCAAATTTTCCATTTATGCAATTTCCATAATTCCATTTTCCATTATGCAATTAAAGCTTGCACTGTGACTTGAGGATGAAGAAAATGATTTATCCATCATTGCTTCAAAAGTTTATTATGACTAGTATACAAAAGGTGCTTAATTGTAGCTGACAATTCTCCATGGGTCTTCCACTTCTGCATGTCTTCTGACAGTTACCTTTTCAAGGATCTCTGTGTAGTTGCCAGTCCGGGAAGATAGAAATAGTGTTTCCCTCCTTGGCAGAGGGTACCATCCCATCAAGAACTCTTGGGGTATGAAGCACATGGATTCAGCTGAAGAGGTTTAGACCTAGTTCACATTGGAGGAGGGAGCTGGGCAACTTTCAGTTCTCAAGTTATGTTTGACCCCATCTCAGATTAACCTTACAGTGTTACACATTACGGTGCAAAGTGGGAACACAGACAAACCTTCCTCCACTTGTGAGCGGGCTTCTGACGGTCAATTCAATGTATAGCTGTTGTTGCTTCTACATCTAAATATATAGTAGAAATTGACATGTTAATGAGCTTTACTTTTCCAACCCATACATGTTAGAGATTAATCCAATAAAAGAAAAGCTCCAAATACAGAAGTTCTAATGGGACAAACTCTCTGTGATGATATGCTACCTGTAGGATGATCAGTGGCTCAGGATTTAGTTTGAGCACCTCTACCCTCTAATGCCCAAAGTTTTCACTATATAGATGATACCAAAACAGTATGTGAATTACATCTCAATTTAAAGGAGAAAAGCCTTAGTTTCTATCTTAATCATGATGGTTGTCATCACATCTCTGCCAGTAGGGGTAGCTGATAAATCTGGATAAAATTCCAGGGACTAGTTATCCAGCAAAGTTTCCTGAGTCTATGTGGGAGAATGCACAATGCTCAGTCCTTCTAGTAGCCAAGAAAAAACTACTTTCTCTTCAGCCCTTCATCACTAAAAAGGAGGTTCAGCAACTTATTGGACCCCTCCAGTACTAAAGGGAATACAGGTCCCTGTGGCTGATGATTTCACCAGTTGAACAATAGAGGTGGTCTTTTCCTGGAGGCATCTCTTGTGGTTTTGGGTTTGCAGCCTTTCTGACATAGCAACTAAGCACATTTCTACTAAAAGCAGCTGTTATCTTCCTACTGAACTCCTTTGGAAATTAAACGACTTCATCTGTATGTAAAGCACTTATGTACACAATCCTGACTTGTACTCCACATCTTTAAAAAAAAGAAATAAAACAAAATTTAAAAAAGAAACTAAATGACTGTCTCATGGTGGTCTTGTGACTCTCTGGTCTGACATTTGAAGTTTTGGGTGGGACAACTTGTATTGATTACTAGCAAGATGAGAAGGTCCCCAAAAGTCTCACCTGTCAAAAGGAAGTAGTATACTAAAAATGCAGCCGGGCTCCGTGGCTCATCCTGTAATCCAAGCACTTTGAGGAGAGTGGATTGCCTGAGCCGGTGAATTTGAGACCAACCTGGGCAACTTGGTGAGAACTCGTCTCTACAATAACTAGAAAATTAGCCAGGAGTGGTAGCACAAGCCTGTAGCTCCGGCTACTTGGAAGGTTGAGGTGGAAGGATTGCTGGACCCCAGTGGGTCGATGCTGGAGTGGTTGTGAGTGTGCCACTGCACCCCAGCCTGGATGACAGAGTGAGATTCCAACTCAAGAAAAAAAAAAATGCAGCCAGCCCAGCCTCAGTGGCATTCAGCTTCACACACAAAAAATAACAGTCATCCTTCTTAGGGAAAATTCATCTCTACCCCACTGTCTGAATAAAAGTTGCTGTCTTAAGGGTACCTCAATTCATCCAGATTACCCTAAACTATTGAGCCTGTTTCAGTGATGACTTGGCTAAGTTGCGACCCAACTGACACTTGAACTGTTGCCAATAGCTTAACGGTCTTGTCTGTCATGGGGAAAACTAAAGACTGGAAGCCTAAAGACACCTTTATTTGGGGCCTCAAATAAAACTGTCTTATAGAACTGTCTGGGTTATTCTTACAGATGGTCATGACAAGGGCCCATTCCCTGATGAGGAAGACTGGAATCAAAGAATGGATTGGTTCTCTGTTTCTCATCCCTGATGAGGAAGACTGGAATCAAAGAATGGATTGGTTCTCTGTTTC